TTATACATGTGTATATGGGATATAATAACACAGGAGTTCGCTTATCCGTATAGTCCAACGAGAGAGAGACCGACTCGGGTCAGGCAATAATTAAGGGGTGAAAGACTAATTTCTTATCTTATTACATATGTACTTACTTTCCTTTCCTTTTTACCTTTTCGTCCTCTGTTATAGCCGTTAAGCGTCGAGGGGAGATGCAGTTTTCTCTTATTATGCAGATTGAAAGTTAAATACATTCTGCATCATCTGACTGACACATTAAAAATACATGTATGTTACAGGTACTGTCACTCAAAGTTCACACAGAGGAGACATGAGCACTACGTCGCCGTAGCAGTGAAAGGGTTAATGTCCTCTTCATATTCATCATCACGAGGGGGGTTTTCGTGGTAGAGGGGTTACGGTGTTTGCTTCTCATTCAATTGGTCCCGCGGGTTCGAATCCGGTTACGCAATGCAATTCGCTCTTCGCTCCTCCCCCATGACGTCACAGCCTAACGTGCGGAAAGTTTGACTTTTAACTCGCCCCTCCCCCTCCCCTTTTTTTTGTAAGCGAATCGTTTTTAAAATGACAGAAGTAGGGTGTCGAAACGGTAAATGATCATTCATATATATCTCTACTCGTAACTATTGCATTCGTGTGTACGTTTTTAATTTGAAGTACAGTACGTTATTATAGTTTACCCCTGCTCATCACGGGTGAGCTCGATTTTGCGTTGATCTTGTCTCTCTCTCTCTCTCTCTTGCCCTTTTTAACTCTCAGTGGAGTACAGGCCATCAACAGCATTACTCCAGCGAAGCCTGTCCTGAGCATCCTTTTCTATCTGTTTCCATGATGTCCCCGCTTTTTCAATTTCCGCTTGTACCGCTCGCCTCCATGTCATCATTGGTCTTCCCTTCTTACGCTTTCCTTGTGGGTTCCACGTTAAAGCCTGCCTGATGATGCTTGTCGGGGGTCTCCTCAGGGTGTGTCCAATCCATTTCCATTTCGCGTTGATCTTGTGGTGATGGATAATTTCTGACACAGTAGGCCTATAGGCCTATAACACAAACTACATTACCGGGTATATATAACCCAGTAGGCCTACGTTTAGATCTATAACGAATTCATAAAATGACCAATATACTATACAAAAAAAGAAGCCTGACGTGATAGTGATAGAGAAAATGTTTTTCAGATTTGAAATAAGCGTAGCCTGCCTTCTAAGAAAACGCAGTGTAAATTTTGGTCACCGCTAGGCCTGGTCATTGCAATCTAAAAAAAATATTGATTGTTAACCAGCGTTTGTAGGCCTTATAGCCGCAGTCTCATTGCGCTGTCATATAAATTTGTATGCTAACATAATATTATATTTTGCGTATAAGCTTCACCTGTCAAGTAATCTTTGATGCGATCACTCTCTGAGCGCGTTATACATGATCATCTTATACATTTTGTGTAACATTTCTTTTTCTTTTAATTAAAAGAATAAATGGGCAGCTTGATTATATGAGGCCTATTATTCAATTTACTTGCTCAGATTAAATTTACTAGACCTAAGTAAACATTCGTACACAAACAGATGCAACCGCACGACCTTTTTCTTTTAAGTAAATCATTCTGGTGCATTTGATATTGTAATTTGTAATACATTATATATGTCTTGATTATTGAAAACAATCGTTCTTCCGTAGAAATAAATACGACGATATTATAGTAAGCCTGTAGCCTAATAATATGATATAAAGATTCTGCACGCATGGTAATAATTAATCCCACGTACGTACATCTGGCCTTAGATTACTTAGAAATTATGTCACGATGAGGGGTATAACAAACGTTCTTTCAGTTTGTAGCCGCCCGTTCTGTTAATCCATACTCTTCAAAGTCACCAAACGCTCACCTAGCCACCGCCTTCGACAGAAAGATTAATACAATCTAAGACGAGATCAGGTTGACAAAGCCACGCGCCTCATTTTACTACAGGTACAAATTCATTACGATCGTCGAAGTCGGAGGCCTGTACGATACATGTACGACATGTAGGCCTACAGTGTATTATGTTCGATCAGGCCGTACGTTTAGATTAGATCTCGATCTGCATAAAAAGCTGCAGACAACAGTGCGAGCGATCTTACTACATGTACACCGAGATTTATGCCTTTGCAAAGGGCATGCAGGGCGTTGGGACAACGATAAGCTGACATACGCCCACCCCACCCCCTCTTTTTACACGCATAAACACGCCTGGCCATTCCCAAAACAACCGACAAGCTCAACCACAAAATAAAGAAGAAAAACAAAACACACTAAACGCTTTCAGCAAACCATAATTAAGTTATTAAGTGAATGCGATGTTAAAGTCCACATATACGCTGTGCACTTTTCGCCTTATTTAGCAGCGAATATTGGACTAGTGTAGGGTTAGGCCTAGGCTAGACCTCTAGACCAATACACCTTCCCCCTTCTTCTTTCTTCGTACACAGGGAGGTCACGCATCATAACCCAGTTGTAAACACAACCCGGCTGTGGAACACAGGCCGGCTGACTGATAATGTAAACAAATCTCAACCTATTCTCTTTTTCCTTGTTGAATGGTTTTCCTTAGATCCTTTAATTCCTTTCCCATTTAGAACGTGTTTTCACGTCCAAAATTCACTAAAAAGGTAATAATTATCTCAGAAGTCCAGTCAACTTGACCAGCATTATTTTGTTTGCAAAGAAGAGAGAAGTTCTATATAGGCCAACTTCCACCGCTCCCGACCAATCAGATCAAGAAAGACTTGAGGTGATTCTATTTTTATAAAATTTTGTGAAAGTAGGGCTTACACTAAGAAAACATAACGGGGTGTACTCTGCCTCAATTGCAATACAAAAGTATTATACAAAAATTAACAAAATATACAAAGTAGTTTTAAAATAATGTTGTCCATCTTCACACTGAAACACGAAAAGGTAAGCCTAATGCAGCGTAGGGATTTTGGCATCATCTTGAGCCTTGACCCAGTTTCTCCAAGTTCAGCTGTGAATGATGGTGACGATGTAGTGTCTACATCGTTTCACAGAGGTCCCATATCAGAATATCGTTAGTTTTGAAGAATTTCACACAACATCCTACTTTTGTTGTACCAAAGGTAAGATTTTACTGCTTTTTATTAATTCACTTCACTTTTGGTTACGACTGTACAGCTTTCCATTTAAGTTTCTTCGTCCACATGTCGGAACCCGATTATCAAGCCAATGTCCCGAGTGCTCAGGTCGACTTGTTGAACAACAAAACCTGTGTGCATAGATAATGAGATCGTCTGTGGCACCGATACTCGGCATGTTTCATGATTTATGACTTCAATGAATTGATTTGTTTATCAATTTCTATTAACTTGCGATTGATATTGTTTTACTCTTCTCGCATGTCATCAAAAGTCTGTTTTTCCGTCTTCTTTTTCGGCATAATAAGGTGTAACACAACGGTTAAAGTGACACGTGAGTCCAGCGAGTGAGAAAGTCAGTCAGTCGCAAACGCGTGCCCTCTTTGGCCTTGGCCAACCCTGTGCTTTGAACAGCCCAGTGGGGTTCGGTTTCTGGTTACATCAAAGCAGCTGGCATTGACTTATGACCAGTGCCTGTCCTTTGCTTTTGTTTTTATTGAGCTCACGAAAGTTGTTATCAAACCTCGTCCAAATTCGGTTTCAAGTTCAGGAAAGAATCGACCCGGCCCAAATCTATTTATAGCTTAGCTCTGATCTTGCACAGATAGCCAAGTAGGCCTGGTGAAGTAGGCCTTTTAGAGTGCATGACGAATCAATCCACGGGGGTGGGCTCACTGCGCCTAGCGGTTTCAGTCAGTAGATCAAGTTTATTTATCACGGAAAGGAGGGTTCTGGCAGTCAGTGGCTTTCTGTAGCTTATTATTTGTTCTAAATCTAGATTTGGAGATCCACTATCACCAGTCCCATGCCATGAACAGGTAAAGTTTCACAATGACAATCTAGATCTAGATTAGATCTAGATCTAGATCTATATCATAGTATATCTAGTAAAAATCTCATACAGTTACAATCTAGAATCTAGACTAGACTCTAGATCTAAATTCTAGATCTAGATAGATCTAGAATCTAGATCAGATCTAGGCCTATTAATTAAAATAGGCCCAGACTTTTTTTTGGGGTTCTTTTAAATTTCTCCTCCATTTCTGCAAGTTCCTCTAGTCTACAGTGGGGATGGATGGAAAGCAGGAGGAAGGATTAACCCTCAAGTTTTAAAAATGTATCCCAGCTGTCTAGAGATGAGTAGCTTGATTTGATGCTGGGTGTAGACTCAATAAGATTGTTCTTAATAGTTCTTGAGATACTAATCTACTTGAGCCAGCTTTAGTGTAGACTAATGATGTAATAGATCTATAGATCTAGATATATATTGTTTAGTTTGTAAGGGTGAGTCTAGAATCTAGAGATATCTATTGTTTAGAAGGTTGTAAGGGTGAGAGTTTCATCAAACTCCACAGAAAATTGTAAATCCAATCTAGATTTATATCTAGATCTAGATCTAGATCTTAATCTAATCCTTTTTATGATTATGCTGAATGCATTAGGAAAAAATCACATTCTAATTTATTGTTTATAAGAAGAACGAGGAAAGTCTGGAAAGGGTGGGGGATGTGGTTAATCATAACTTTCCCTTTCATTTCGTCTTTGATGTAAACCTACTGAAACTGAAAAAAGTAACAAAATTGAGTCACAAGTTGGTCTGATCAGTGATTTGAAAACAAAGCTGTAAAAAATTGTTAAAAGAATAAGCCAGTATAAGAAATTGAATTGTGTATCCAGTTAAGTTTCTAAATGGGCCACCTTTATTCTTACCTCGGGTGAGAGTAACCTTTGTCTCGCTATTCTCATCACACCCCAAATAATAGCTCCCACCCCGGTGAGGGCATGAGGCGAATACTCCCCCCTGACCTCTCGCAGGCCGATAAAATCACCTAGGCCCTTACTGGTGGCTTACAGCATATGGTTGTGAACGAATCATAATAATGTAAGAACATTTTTCGCCTCTCCAGTTTAAAAAAAAGGCTAATCTAATCCCTACCGACATTGAGCGGGATGTGGGACCGGTCGCCGGCTGGACCATTAGTTGTTTACACACTTAACGATGGCAGGCCCCTCACTCTCTGCCTGCACACAATACATTATTCAAGGAACAGAGAGCGTGTACGAACGTAACGAGACACGAGCACGAGACCATGCTATTGCACGGCGGTTGAAGGGTTGTAAATTATTCAGACCAAATGGATGAGTGCGTTAAATCGTGTTAACTAGTTTAATAATTTTAAGCAATCCAAGCTCTTTACTTTATCTTTCATTCTTTCTTTTTTTTTTTCCTTGCCTCTTCTGTCCCCTTATTCTTCAACATTTGGAGTTTGGAGCACAAAAAAAAAGCCAGAGAGCCAAATGAAATTCTCCTGGCCAGACGCGATCCAAGAGAGCCAAATTTCTGGGATTTGGCTCCAATTTGACAACCCTCACTGTGACTAGATCTAGATGTATGTCTTTTTGGACACCAACACGATCCTGTGGAGCATTTTCCCCCGTAACCTCAGCCCTGATCCCTCTTGGGTCTTTTCCGGTAAAACAAGGGAGGGGATGAGAATAGTGAGACATAGGTTATTCTCACCCGGGGTGAGAATTTAACCACTTCCTTCTAAATAATGTTGTAGGCTAGGATTCATTGTCTATGTTTGGATTTTAAAAAGTTAGCACCTTTACTCATGACCTTAAATAGATGTTAATGTTATATATATAATATTACTGTAAAGTGATGAGAGTTACTGAAGAGAATTGTTGAAACTTCTTAAACTTTGTCTTTTCCTGTTTGTTGATAAGAGCAGACTGGCATGATATTAGTATCACTTGGTCTCTTTGGCCTTTTTGGTTAATGGGTGCTATAAATAAAAATTTTAACTGCCTTGTTTTGGTCTAGAGCCAAGTGAATGTTCATCCCTTATTCAAGACGGATTGTTTGAAGTTGCTGACATTTCAGCAAATTGCAAGTGATAACTAATCTTCAAATGTTGTAGAGCACTTTCTAATGCAAGATGTGTGTTACTCCTCCTCCCCCTTCCTTATTTTTTCTTGGAACTTTTTAAACTGTAAGATTGTAAATTTCCTTTGAGTTCCCAGGCCAGATGGCTGCTTTAAATGACCTACATTTTCTATTTTCCATTTGCAATTGTGGTTCTGACATTTGAAATCAAATTATTTTTTTATTTGCTCACCTGTATAATAATATTAATATATATATATATATATATATATATATATATGTATAGTGGCCCTTTCGTTATCAACATCATATTATGAGTAACACATTTGAGTTCACTTTCACATGTTTTGCACTGCAAAATACTTTCTGTGATATCATCTTGAAAGTAATCATGCTGTCAGCAACTGAAAGACTCAAAATTCTCTTTTTGCTCATTAAAAAACCCCCAACAAAATTGTAATGCCTCCTGATCTGTCAATCGTTCCCAGTTACAATCACACTGTGTCGAGATGGATGGTGATGGTGGAGAGAAAAAGGAAGTTCGTCGGCCGATGAACGCCTTCCTGATCTTTTGCAAGCGTCACCGCAGTGTGGTGCGGGAAAAGCACCCCGAGCTGGACAACCGCAGCGTGACACGTGTACTGGGCGACCTCTGGGCCAACCTCGGTGAGGAGAAGGCGACCTACACTACTTTAGCCAAACAGGTGAGTCCGTGGGTGGTTGGCGGGTGCTCTGGTGTGGTTTGCTTTTTCTTTCCTTCTATCAAACGTCTATCGTCCTTATCTCCCCTTCTTCTTTTTTATGTTTGTTTCTCTCTTGTAACACCTCTAATCTTCTGGCGCTCATATGACCTTATGCAGTTGCAAGCGCCGTAAAACCCTCTACTAAAACTACTAAAAAAAAAACAGGTGAGTCCAGGGGCCCTCTAGGGGCTTGAGTATAATGAGAGTGGGGGGAGGGGAGGGGGAATTTGTTTGAATATATTAATATATACTGAGGTTCGTATTTCTAGATTTTAAAAAATCCTCTTTGTTGGCCCTTGTGTGTATTGTATGGGGACACACTTTTTTTAACCATGTAGTTTTGGAAGAATTTCACTTTTGAGATTGTTTGTACATTTTTTTCTTTGTATTGTGGTGTGTTTTCTATTGTTATTTGTTAATATTGTCTTGTTTGCGTGAGAACCAACAAGTGAAGTTATTGCACTTGAAATGCCTTTGCTATGACTCTTTAGAAGATGTTGTATTACGAAAATTATGTGCAATAAAGAAAGAAACAATAAAAGCCTTTCAAGTGTAAACTTGTATAGCATTTTTTGAAAAATAAAAATGTGAGGCATCGTGGTCTTCTTCTTCTCGATCGCATCACACTTGAAGTCCGGTATCTGTCATAAATTGGGCTGTCCTGCTCAGTTCATCTGTCAGCCTGTATAGCTTCTCTTGTAGTGTCAGTGGGGTTGGCCACGTTTCCTGTCTCAGGGCCCTGTGTGTCTTGCAGTGCTGAAGGATGTGCTCCACAGTTTGGTCCGCCTCTCCACACTGGCATTTTGGTGATTGTGCTAGTTTAAAACATCTGTACATATGTTGTCTAAGTCTTTGTGTGTTGTGTTGTTAATCATAAGATCATCACTTGTTCTTGGCGGAACAGCTCATGGTGGCTATCTGGTGTCTGGGGTGCTTTAAACTGTGTATTTATAATAGTTTTTATTTCTGTGTAGTTAACTCTGTTGTCTGGTTGCTTGAATGAGGCACCGTGGTGAAATCAGGCGCTTGTCAAAATAATGAAATCGAAGAAAACAGCATATTCCCAATGGTTAGGCAATTTTTTACAGAATTTTTGTTTTTTTGGCTTATCACATCTTACGTCAGTTGGAAAACCCATTTTGTGTGGACATTACTGAAAAATATTAATTACAGACAGAAGATAATGTAAATTTCCATTTCCCATACACACTCTCAAACTATAGACGTTACCAAACTTTGGCTACTATTTAATTTCTCGATAATTTACCTCTGAAACCAGGTGACCCATACCTTCTTCAATCGAAAGTATCTCGACTTCCATTCAAATTAGACGAGTACTTCTTTCATTGAATGCAAAGCAAATGAACAAGCTGTAATATGATGATACCCTTAGCTCCACAAGCTCAAGTGGGTGGTTGGCGGGTGCTCTGGTGTGGTTTGCTTCTTCTTTCCTATCAAACATCTATCGTCCTTATCTCCCCTTCTTCTTTTTTATGTTTGTTACTCTCTGTCTTGTAACACCTCTAATCTTCTGGCGCTCATATGACCTTATGCAGTTGCGAGCGCCGTAAAACTTCTACTAAAACTAAACTAACACAAGCTCAAAAAAAAAAATGATGAGCGCCTGATTCCACCATGTGGTGACACAAATGATTCAGTGGAGACTGCAATGTTTTTGTGTGTTCCAATGTCTCCAGTACAAGGATGCGTTTATGAAGGCCAACCCGGATTACAAGTGGCACAACACGGACAAGTCCAGCTCAGCGGCAAGCAAAGTGACCGCGAAACCCACCAATTCCAGGGTCATCAAGAACGTCGCCGATCTTGTTCCTGAAGGGGGGATAACTCCGGGAAAACTTGCAGGTATCCTAGATGGGTCGATCTACTGATCTCTTTCTCTGTCTGTCTGTTTGTCTGTCTTTCTGTCTATCTGTCT